CATGAAACTTTGTTGTTTTATTTACTACAATGAAACAAACCCTCTTAAAGATCTCTTCAGCCAAGAAGCTTACTAGGCCTTCCCTATAAACAGTTGTGGATATGACCCTATCTGTCATATGCCTTCAAGACAAAAATGGCTACAAGTAAGGAAGTAAGGCATAAGCAACCATGCTTGGGGGGGGGGGGGGGGGTTAATTATTAAATAAATTCTACAATAATTCTACAAAATAAAGTCTTATAAATTTAAGGCTTTTAGAAAGGCAGACTCAAACTTTCATCTAGGTAAAAAAACACCTTTGCATACCATTAGATTAGAATATAAAGCATTAGACACACTACATCACAGAAGCAGGGACAAAATAATGAAGCTTACAATAACAATCATGGAGTAGTACATCAGTCATATCTTACACAAGATAAACATCTACACGACTTTACTAGTGCAAATAAACACAGATGTAGATAAGACCTACAACTCCTCAACGTGTTCTTGACATGCATTTACGTTTCAGCCAATGTTTACTTGTATTTAATTTAAATAAATAGATAAGGCTTCATTTAAGCCATATACAATTTTAGAACTGTGTTTGAATACATATTTAAAGATTCACAGAATTAAGCAGATGGAACAAATATAATCTGACATTAGATCATCTTGAGTCTCAATACTGTCCCTATCCCTAACCTTAAAGTTTGATAGCCTAAAGATTCAGGTAAGCCTTGCCTGACCTATCCATAAAAGCATCTGTTGAAAGGATTAACAATTTTCATTAACTACAGAATGATAATTTGTTACTTATATTAAGGCTTTCCACATTAACAGATACGAAGATAAACAGAAACCTATAATGGTTTTGACATGCCTAGGATAACTTCTGCTACTTTTATTGTGTCCTCCAAAAGCATTACTGGCTATAATGAAAAATACTTGGTTGGTCTACTAGTCAGCACAGTTGGCTTGAAGATCCCCATCTCCCAACCCGTAGTTGCTATTTTCCTGGAAAAGGAACTTTCTACATACCCATTATCTACATATTCGTGGTCAAAGATGACCCAGAAATCACCACATGGAATAACTATGGCTTTGAATACTAGCTCAGCTTCTATATCACACGAGCTTTCATGTTCGTTTAGTGAAAACATTACTCATCCTATGTGATCTTATGTCTCTGAACAGATACGCCAGTTTACGCCTCCTTTTAGTTTTATATCTTTAAATGGTTGACTGACATCACTACTGAAATTGTGAGAACCGCAGCAGAGCGATGCGGAGAAGGGCCTTGAGAGGAGTCAATTTTAGACAGCTGAATGTACAAGGGGCTACAAGTTGCATGAAAAAAGCATTCTAGAATGGTCTCCAAACTTTTGAGGTAAAACCGAAATCTGCTAGTAAGTGTTTCCTGGTACTTTCTACAGTAGAAAAATGTAAAAACTGGAAAGTCTGCACGCTGCTTCCTTTCAGACCCACACCAAAGAATTCTTTAAAAGATAACTATCCAAAGTCCACCAGCTCCTTTGTGCAATGAAAATGGGAGATCAGCAAATTATGACACTGCTTTATTTCAGATAACGCATAACAATTATTGTCCCTTTGGGGTAAAACAGCGACATTTGAGTTTTCTGCTATGAGGAGTCATACCCTTGTGAAAATGAAAAAAAACAATCAGCAAGCTTATAAGCATGTGAGAAATGGCTCACAAGGTCACACACAACCTAACGTAAACTACACCCATGAATTTTGTCACAAATATGTAAACGTTCAAGCTAACATGTAAATGTTCAACATATACATGTGTTCAATATGGCACTCTTAAGGATATAGACCCTACCTACTCTGGACAGAAATCCGGACAGGCCTCTAACAAAGGTAGTACGCTACACACAAGAACATTTGCTGCACGTGCTGCTGCTGCTTCTCCCTTCAGCCAGCAGGAAGAAAGGGATGGGACAATCTTTTGAACATAAGAAACTAGAGAGATGCCTATATTTTTTCCTCTGGTGCTGACATACATACACGCACACCCCCAGGATCTGTCCTACCCTGTGTCATCTCCATGTGAAGCTAAATAAATCCAATGCAGATGACAGTATTGTCTTAAAAGCAGCAACAGAATTATTGTATTTTTGGTCATGATATAATCTAAATTGCAATAACCATTCAGTTCCTTAATGCAGAAAATCTTCAGTTCAAAAAAAGGAGAGCAGCTCTCACACCTTATTTAAAAAACCTCCTCAATATCAATGGCATTGAGTCTCTTGCCACGTTGTAAAAGCAACTGGATAGTCAACTTCTCTTTGATACCACAGTTGTTCCTAGCATTTCTGAGCTGGATGAAGAATACCACCCAGTTCTGCTTACCATTCTCAAGAAAATCATTCCTAATTCTAAACTGTCAGAGTAACTATACACACAGATAACTTTTCCTCTGTTATGGATCTGCCAGTAATGAATTAGGAAAAAAAAAAAAAAAATCCCTTGAAGTGTTCAGGATAACAAACATGGAGTAAAATACTTTAAAGCTCATCATGCAAACACATTAGCTAGTCATATTTACATATCATTTGAAAACTGAGATTTTGACTCTGCTGGCAGAAAAGCTGATGGAAAAGTATACAGATATATTGATTTTTCCTCTCCTTCCTGTGACTACAAAATATTTGTCAAACTGCAAAGGTGGGAAATCTATGTCCAGATTTAATCTCAGAAGCATTTTTATAAACAAGCCTTCAGGTACTTCATTCAAGATACTAAACGTCTACAACGCAAGATAATTCTCCCCAAACTTTTGGAAGTTTTGGTGCTGTAATTTCGTAGAGTACTCTAAAGAAGCATTAACAGTAAAAAAAGTTATGTGGAATTAGCTCATCTTACCAGTTAGGGTCTCATCGTTAGCTTTTTTCTAAAGCATTGCCATGACAGTGCTTTTTTTAAATTTATTCTCATGGAGTTAAACCTGAAGCGAAATTGCACTTGATCTAAATCCAAATCGCACCAATATGTAATAAAATAAGGAATTAATCAGATTCAAATAAGAAAGAAGTTAACAAAGTAGTGTGCTTGCATCAAATTTAAGAGGCTGCCAGTAAAGTATTGCTGCATCATCATTTATCTATTATGTTTTAAGCTAACACACTGACACTTAAAACTTTTCTCTTCATTACTAATATTATTGTCTTTTATTTTACTGTTCCTCTGATGTAACAGGCTTTCTAAAAGTCCTATTGCATTCCGACATATACAGAAGATTGATGCATCTCCATTTTGTATATGCAGATTCAAAAAGTTACCTATAAAGTGTGTCTTTGCTTTCAAAATAGTTCCACTTGAAAGAATTAGTCATGCTCACCTACAAGTTTTAGCCTACAAGTCCTTGAAACAGCAACCATTTAAACTGTCTTTAATAAAGGCTAATACAATAACACTACCTACAGAAAAGAATCCCTACCTATGAAAAGAAGTAGTAGGACTGTACACTTTTACTCCAGAAGAAACCAAAACCATTGTTGACTCAGTCTTTAATGCACTAGCGACCATACACGTGACTGATCACATTAAGTACCGCAAAAACAATCTTTTATCACTGATGTGCTTGCATTTAGGAAAACAGTATTTCATATTTATATTTCAGATGCAACATTTGTGTTTCATTTACAGTAAAACTCAATAGACTTTCATTAAAAAGTATGAAGTTAAAGATTACTATTCATTTAATTATCACTGAACTAACACCAATTAAATCACAATGATGCTAGTTAACCGCACTCATTCATTCTTCTGAAGAAAAAAGAAGTTAAAACTCAGATCTAGCAGCCAAACTGCCTCTTTTCTAGTTCTATTACTGTTTCATTATGTAGATGTAAATAAAGCCATCATTACGAGCCACTTCATCCATATGATAGGGGCAGACACTGCCTGTGTTATGGGATTGCTTGCAGCTTGTGGAAGAAGCGGGGTAGACATGTATAGCTCTAGCTGTACTAACGGTGCCGCCATGAGATGGAATGAAAAGACCACTGACTCCCACCAAATTCACCCCAAGTTTTGGCAAGTAATTACCCCGGTAACCATCAAGCCAAGACTAACAAAGATTCAATCACTTCATGAGAGCATAGGTAAGACCCTAAAAACAGGAAGGTATTAGAAAAGTTTAAGCAGAACTTCAGTAAGACATTTTGAGGACTTGACAGGAGTCACTTTGGTTACAAAGCAAGTAAATATATGCTGAGACTTCTCTTCTCGACAGGCACCACAGAAGTTTGTGAACCACGCAGTTAGTATCCTGACAGAGCTCTGTGTAAGATCCACCAGCACAAGTCTTTAGCAGGTGGACACAAAGCTAAAAGGGGGGGCCACTTTCTCCTCCACAGGCTCCATGTAAGAGACATCACCATGTATTAGAATAACACACAAGGACATGGAAAAAAACCACATAAAGGAAAAAGCGTTCACAAACATTTGCTAGACAGCGGTCCAACAGCAAACCTTTTGAGACTACAGACAGCTGACTTGAATGGGCAGTAGTTCACAAAGGGGATGACATATCTGATAGAGAACACAGCTTGGAAACTTCCGTTCTCTTTATTTCATTAATAAACGAACTAAAAAAAGAAAAGGTAAATCAACAGGCAGTATTAAACCGGGGGGGGGGGGGAGAAAACAGCTTTTACACCCACAGAAATAAGATTAAAGCTACCAACCTATGTCCTGAACTCAACAACTTATTTTCGCAAGCTTCCCTAAAACTTGTTTAAAAAGACACACACGTACCCCTATCCACCTCGCTATGGTCTGCTTACAGTTGCTGGCTACATCTCATGACTCATCAGTTTTCACTGCTCCTTGAAAAAATCCAGCCTGCTCCCCATATCTTATAATTACGTATCTTTCAATAGTCTGAGCTGTGAAACGTGAAAACAGAAACCAGGGATATTATGGCAGGAGAGTGGAGGAAAGAAAGAAAATATCGAAGAGCAATTAACACCCCTGCCTTCGCTTACACAAGGGACGGAGCCGCCCCCCTCCCCAGGGCGGAGCGCAAGGGGAGACCGGCCGGGCGTCAGGAAGCTGGGGA